ATCACTATTTGCAACAGTTTCATGATACATGTACATTGTACAAATGTAATTAACTGAAAGACGAAAACTGTTATGAACTCATTAGGAAACATCGTGTATCTTGACATGAGTTATAATTTTAAAAATCAGATGTGCTTCTGTCCAATTCTGATCGACGCCATTTGTATTCATTTCTACTGTGTATAAGTCTCCGCCGGTAGGAGCACCTCTGTTCCAAGAAAGATCACTCAAATTTATCCTTTTCTCAATACTGATAGACCAACTCAAGATCTGTCTATATCCTTCTCAGTCTGTGCCAAAAACTTATTGAAGCACTTGCCCATAGGGCTGGTGGAATAAAAATAAAACTATCCGAAGCAGCTGTCCGTGCCAAACTCTTTTGGTTTCTGTCTGACATTCAGACAGTGTTATAGGTTTTGTCTGACCGAACAGATTATTGTCTGTCCGAAAAAAAATCAATTAATTAAGCTTATTGTGTTGTTTATGTTTTTAAATGTACTGTGTTGTTTTATGATGATATTCATGGCAAAATTGCATTTCAGAAAGCAGTTGATAAATTTTATTAAATATTTGAATGTATATATTAGAGTTTATTTTATGACTCGAACAGGAACATTTTAAAATTAGAGCAGCCTGTGATGAAAGCTTAAGTGTTTTGGATTCTCAAATTTTTAGATACATTTGCGCTGTTACCATAATGATTTGTGCTAACTGCACATGACATCAGGTTCTTTATGTCGTCGAACTTCAGCCATGGTCTTTTAACCTTCCATTCATTATTGAATTTTCTATCTGGTCTGTGCTCCTCATATTTGAGCTTTTTGTCATGATTGCTTCCTTCGTCAGTCACGTTACATTTCAAGGGCTTACCGGGGATAGCCCCTTGAACATACTTCAGAGTAAACATTTTACCCGGAAGTTTTCATTTCTATCGATCTGTGTGCACGGTCACGGGTTTCATGATCCGAACCTGCTAGGGGGTTTGGGCATGCCCCACCCCAAAAAACATTTTGGACAATTAGACATAAATCCTGCATTCTGAGGTTACATTTTTGTATCTGGAAGTGTATATAACTTATGATGTTGTTTTTTTCTGCAGGTCAGATGAAAACTTCTCCTTTCCTTAATAAAAATCTTTTCAGAACTGTTGACAAGGCTGTTCAAGGCTCTTTTCTTTGAATTTTAAACATTCATGTACATGTAAATTAAATGTATATATTATACTCTTTGCTACATTTTGTTTGAATTAATTTCTCATTCAAATTTGACTTCAGTTTACATGGTTTAAGAGATAATCCTTTCTGCTGCAGACCAAGAAAAGAAGAAAGCTCATATCAATCATTCAATATTTTATTCCTCATAATTGTTCATAATTTTTATACGACCGCAAAAATTTTTTTGGGTTCGTATAATTAATGCTATGATGTTGTCCATTTGGTTTCCGGACAATAACTTTAATTAAAGTGAATGGATCTCTATGAAATTTTACAAAAACGTCGAACACCACAAAAGGAAGGTACCAACAGTTTAGGAATGGGGCCAAAAACAAGCATTTTTGTAGTTTCCAGACAATAACTTGTGTGTCAGTGTATGAATCTCTCTGAAATTGTACCACAAGGTTCCATATCACAAAGGGAAGGCTGGGATTGAGTATGGGGGTAATTGCCCCAAACATGCAGGAAAAAGGGGCCAAAAAAGAGTAGTATTTTTGCAGTTTCCAAACAATAAACTTGTGTTTAAGTGTATGGATCTCTCTAAAATTGTATTACAAGGTTCCATATTACAAAGGGAAGGCTGGGATTGAGTTTGGGGTAATTACTCCAAGGGGGGGGGGGGGTTCATATTTTTTTTTCTTCAAGATTTTTTAGGCCGACCGCGCAAGGGCTGTATAGCCAGTCAAGGTCGTTAAAAACTTCCATTTGTTGTAAGATTTTTGAAATTTCAAATGTATTGAAAAGTTTCAAGAAGAAATCTTCAATTGCGCAGTATTGCACAAAAGATTTTTAAGATCTTTGACCTCATTTATTTTGTGTCAGAAACCTGTATTATGTCAAAAATTTGATCACAATCCAAAATCAGACGGTATCAAGCTTGAAGATTGTGTCCAAACTTGCTCCAACTGTTCAGGGTTCAATCTCTGCGGTTGTATCAGGCTGCGAAGCATTTTATTTTCAATTTGCTGACAGCCTTTTTGCCACCTTTTCTGGTCTCGCACTATCTGACCACCTCAACATTGAAGCCATATTTATAAACAGCTGATTAACTGATACCACTTCTTCATATAAATAACAGTAACAATAACCAGTCATCGAAGTTGTTCTAATAACCAGCGTCTCTTTTCACAAAATATCTTAAAACAATAACCAGTCATCGAAGTTGTTCTAATAACCAGCGTCTCTTTTCACAAAATATCTTAAGAGTAAAAATACTTGTAAGTCATACACATTTCAGTATAACTTACGATCAATTTTAATCGTAAGATTTTTTGTGAAAAGAGTCGCAGTCTTCTTAAATACACAAGATGTCATGCTGGGGTGTGTCATACTAAAGTCAGGTTGCTCTGACCTTGACTTTTACCCCTTTGATAGTAAAACCATGTCTAATTCGTGTCCTGCTCATAACTTTTGTACTGTAAAACATACTAAAGTCAGTCGACTCTGACCTTGACTTTTATTTTGACCATTATGATAGTTGACTTTATCCAATTTGTGTCTGGTTCATAAAGTTTGTACTTTAAAACTTTGGTTTATCAAACTTGATAGGCAGTTGCATCATGGTCTTTGGAGGTGTCATATCCCAAAGTCGGATCACTCTGACCTTGACTTTGTCATTTGATACTATGTTAGTAAAACCTTGTCCAATTCGTGTCTGGATCATATCTTTTGTACCTTAAAATTTTGGTTAACCATGTTAACCTAACATGGTATGCAGTTGCATTATGGACTTGGGGTATGTCATATACCAAAGTCAGATCATTCGGACCTTTCCCATTTGATCCCTATGATAGTTAAACAGTTTCTGATTTGTGTTTGGTGCATAACTTTTGTACTGTAGCACTTAAAAAATTAAGAAAACTTTGTACGCAGAAGCATCATACTGACCTTGACATTCAATTTCAGAATTTACAGTATGCAAACCTCACACTTTGTTCCTGGGTCAGTAAGAGTCTTTCAGATTTGCCTATAATTAACAATGTCCACGTGTCAATTCAACACAGAGGCAATGATTATATAAAATGAATGGCTGAAAACCAAAAATCTCAAAATGTCATTGCCTCAATGCTGAATTTCACAACAGCAACTAAAATGTATTACAGGGTTATAAGTACCTCTACGAATCTAGTGGATATTAACTTTTTATTCTGTCTACATATTGCCATTGTTGATTAAATACTTTCATATAAATTCACTTTTACTACGGTTGTATTGGTTTTAAGTTTGCTGTTTTATTAAAAATAGATGTGTCATTTATTGCCAATGAAACAGCTATCCACCAGAGTTCAAAGGAGGATGATATATAAGCAATTATAGGTCACCATACAGGTCTTCAACAATGAGAAAAACTCATACCATATAGTCAGCTATAAAAGGCCCTGATATTAAAAATGTGAAACAATTCAAACAAGAAAACTAACGGCTTATTAATTAATAACAATACAATTTACAAAAAACAAATATGAAGGACATGACAGAAATGATAGGCCCCTGACATGGGATGGGCACTTTAAAGAATGTAACAGATTTCTGAGTACTGAATTATTTTAAATCTACAGTTGAAGGTTGCAATATCAAAATTTTACAAAATTTTACATGATAAACATATAAAATAAAAGTGAATTTTGATGATTGCTGATGAGACAATGATTTAGTACCAAACATCAAAGCTGTGATTAAATTCATATTTGAAATAATACACATCTACCGATGTAAACTTTCCACAGGTGCTATCCAGCACTTTGATTAAAGGAAAACATTTAATTTAAAACAGTCATGGCATCTCCAGTCCTAACTGTAACGTTGTAGTATAACGTACTTAGTAAATAACGTAGATAAACAAAAAAATGCAGTCGTTCATACAACCGTTCAGAAATTACCACTAGAGAAGCTACATACAAAGGTTATTTTCCTTTACAACCAGTACTAATTACAATGACTGAAAACGTGGTAGTTGTTTAAAATGAAAATACTACTTGAATAGGCCGAACGGAACAAAATACACAAAACATATATATATATATGGCTGCTGTGAATGAGAACAAGAAATGAGAGAGATCACCCAGTAGATCGTTTTTACTGCAATTGGAGAAAATGTTGAATGTTTAGTATTTATATATACTGTACTAACTATAAAAAATGTAAACTCTCATAACAATTGGATATCTGTAGATTTTAAACTAGTAATCATGTGTCTAATAGACCATTGCACATCAGCGAAAGGACCATCACACTTCGGTGCAGACCATCGCATTTCAGTGTGACCATCGCACTTCAGGCCGGGTCTACAGGCCATCCCCCCTCCTAGTCCTACATATACATGTATGTCATATAAACTTGTCTAATCCAGTGTTATAAAAGATCGTTCCATTAATATTGGAGAAAGTCAACTTGGCCAAGTAAGATGGTCAGATAGGAACTGTTTGAGTTACTGTCCTCTGGATTCACTCAAAATGTCCTAGTGAGAACCCTGCTGTATAGGAGCTATTAAGGTTAAACTTGTAAAGTGCAAAAATAATCAGCAACACAAAAAGTAAACTATAGTATGTTCATATAAAATTCCTAATAAGCCAAGCCCCCCTTCCAGGTGAGCGATACAGGCACAGGTGTGCCTCTTAATGAAATTGAATTTTTTTTTTTTTTTTTTTTTGTGTTTGATTTATCTATATCTATTAATGAAAAACAAATGGACGCAAATATACACAGACCAGTTAAAAAATTGAAACCTCAATGTCAATAATATTTTTGTACATGTACTTTGTAAATTTTTATCCATTTTCATTTCAGGGAGGAAACAATGCTGGACATACAGTTGTAGTTGAAGAGAAAATGTATGATTTTCATATTCTGCCAAGTGGAATTGTTAACCCCGACTGTACAGCTGTCATTGGTAATAGATATACTGGTTCTATTGAAAAATAAACAATGCTTTACCAATCAGAGCTCCAGATAAGCTGCATATTTGCGTGATTACACAATAAAAACAAATGAAAACCCAATTCAATTGACAATTGCAGCGTTCAAAAACCCAATTCATGCATAGAAAAACCCAATGTTATGTCAAAACTATGCATTCTCAATCCTATTTGTCTCTATTGTGTGTGTTAATTACCCTAATTGATAAATTATTGTCACGTAAATCTATTTTTGTAATATTAGGAAATCTACTTTCGTTCTTAAAATAGAGCGTTACATCAAATATCTGATCTGGGTCCCTGTTGGGACATGTCTGTGTTATAGTAGTCTCAGATATCATCAATAAAAATTTACAAATTGCCAAAGTTGCCTCTGATATTGAATGTGATGATAATGAAGCAGAGTCTGACTCACACTTCACTCTTATAAATCATGAAAACATTTTATTCAAAACTATTTACCATACTTGGAAAAAATAACATGCTGACAAGCAATGTCAAGGGATTGTTATGATATATAACCCCAACAAAAACAAGGGGTGATCGTATGTGCTCTAGAAGGTAATCAGTTACTGCCCCACTAGTAACACCAGTTTATATAAATTGACAGAAAATACAAAACTGGCAGAACAGTTGAAACAAACTAGACACAAATTAAACAACAACAAAAAAATTGCTTGTCAGTGTTGAAACCAAATAAAACAACTATCACATACATACTTGAAAGAAAGATATTTAAGATAACTTTGTTTGATATGATTACATTATGACATATGCCTCAATTCAATATTAAGATCAATGAAAATAGACAAATACATTCAGGAGCTAGGTGGTGAAAAAACCCAATTTGATATTTATTTGCATGAGGGGTGAATTGGAATTAATGCAATTGAAAAAACTATTTCACTCAATTACATCAAAATTGGTGGGTAAAAAATCCCAGGGGCGGATCCGCCTCTGACCCCAATTTGTGAATTCTTATCTGGAGCTCTGATTACAATGTTTAAAGATCCAATGATATGCCCTTATTGTGCATATTGAAATTGTTGCATGAATAAAATGTAATATTTAAAAGAATCTGTAGAACAACATGCATGAGGATATCCTAAGTCCTATAAATATTGTGTCGGATATGATTGTTAAAAGTCCCATTACTCTGGAAAGACAAGCCAGAAAATATTCAAAGTCAAAACCTACATTCACCAATCCCAACCACAACCCAGCTCAGTGTGTTAGTCTAGTACAAAGCAAAGTTTATACTCGTATCATATAATCATGTTCACGTCCTGAATATGCAGTTAATTTGCCACTGGACCTTTAAAAGCCATTCATCCAATCTCAGCCTTAAGTTTGTAGTGATTCAAGCATACTAGAGCTAGTGCATGCACTAGAAAAACAAAATCCTGAAAACGCCCGCTTATCGATAATGCCGAGCGGAACACGCTCTTTAGTGAAAAGATCAACTTTTTTGACTTTATGCATCTTTATTAGCTTTCGTATTCAAAATTAGCTGTCTGGCGCTATCTTTCGCCGTTTTCACTAATTATCGTCTTTCCGTTCGGCAAATTCGACTTTTTCCTATAATCCCTCAGATAGCGATGGCCCTTTAACAGTCCGATTTAATTAAGAAGAGCTCATGATCTTTATTAATGTTGTTCTAAAGTTACATAACGTAATTAATATATACATTTAAATAATGCAATTAAAATGAAGTTTCAATATGACTATTTAAAAAATGCCTTTAATTTACCCCTAACTTTTTAAATAAAATGGTTTGTTGTGTTCACCAATTCTAACAATTATGTAAAGTTTCAAGTCAATCAATCCAAACAAACTGAAGTTATGGTTCAACATGTGAAATATTAGCATAAATCTGACAATTGGAAATCCTGTCACTCTGGAATAACAAACTCAAAAATTTCAAAAACTAATAGGGAGCTACCTTTTATCAATCCCAACATAATGTAGTTTTGAGGCAATCAATCCAGGCATACCGGAGTTAATCTGATATGTGAAAAATTGCCTTAAATCTAATGGAACAACAGAAATTTCTGAAATTGAAAGGGAGCTTTCTTCCGCCAATCTTTAGTCTGTGTTAAAATTGCATGAGAATTGATGATTTTTAAGCAAATTTGAGTTATTGTGTGAAATGTTGAACCGACGAAAGGACAGGTGAATGGATGGACTGACTCACTATCATGTTGTACCATATTATCTTACCTCATATACACTTCAAGGAATTTACTGGTTAAAAGGGAACACATGGGAACTGTGTTTATTTAATATTTGGTCAGTCGGCCTGGTTTCTTTTAGGTACACGGTTAGTAGTAGAATTACGTTTCTTTTAAAAAAAACCAAAACAGTGTTATTAAATTAACATACCAGTCAAGAAAAGAGAATGGAAACAGGGTATGTGTCAAAGTGACAAAAACCCGTCCAAAGTGCAGAAAACAGCCCAAGGCCACCTAGGGGTCTTCAACGCAGGGAGAAAATCCAGCACCCAGAGGCAGGCTTTGGTTGGTCCCTAAACAATAATGTATACTTGTTCAGCAAAATAAAAGCCACACTAAACTCCAAAATATACAAATCAACCAAAATAAAAAAAACACAAGACTAACAAAGGCTAGTATTGTAAACATACATAGTTATATTTTTTTCATACTTTTAGACAAAAACATGTCTTAGAGAGGGCTTTCTCACTGGAAATGATTGAAAGTAAAATTGTGATATCAAGGTTGACAACTTTCGTCTAAATTCCCCATATTAAGATAATTCATTACACAGTGTACTATAGTGACCTAATACGGTATATACAGGGTCCATATGGGGCTCGAGCTTCTCACTCTTGCCCCATATGGAATTTACTGACCCCATATATATTGTATAACATGTAGATCACTGTGTAACTAATAAAATCTATGGAGAGTAGATACCTATTATTAGTGGTGCTTCTAAAGTAAGGCCAAATAAAAAAGAAATATGATACTGCAGTCATATGGTATTTTAAACGCTATTTTCCAAAGCAGAAATTTGAAATCCTGATCCGTTTGTTAAATCAAGATACTCATTAGAATATATTATAATAGTATTGGTAGTAAAATTGCTATAATGACTTGATATTTTGACAACTGACCTCCAGTAGTCATGACAATAACATTGGTTTCAAGGACAGTCTATGCCATATCCATTGTATGCAATAGTTTTCTCACTTATTATCCAAGTATTGACCCTAAAATATTCCATTTTTTCTTGGAAATCTAGCTTGTTTGTATCTGAAAAATGATTATGCTGATAGGCAATTCTGCCACTCTTGTATTGCAGGAAATGGTGTTGTTGTTCATTTACCAGATTTATTTGAAGAAATTGAAAAAAATGTTCAAAAAGGACTAGAAGATTGGAAAAACAGACTGATCATATCTGACAGGGCACATCTAGGTATGTCAATACATGAGCTTGTGTACAATATATAATTATATCATATATTTCTAGTATAAGCCAGAAAGTGCAGGTATCTAGAAATCTATGAAATTTAAACATAAGGTTTATAACCACAAAAGGAAGGTTGGGATTGATTCTTTGGGGTTATGGTCCCAACAGTTTAGTATTAGGGGCCAAAAAGGGGCCCAAATAAGCATTTTTCTTGCTTCATGACAATAACTTGTGGAACAGTGTATGGATCTCTCTGAAATTATACCACAAGTTTCCATACCACAAAGGGATGGTTAGGATTGGCTTTGGGGGGTTATGGCTCAAACCGTTTAGGAATTAGGGGCAAAAAAGAGAAAAAACAAGGGTGTCCTGGTTAATGGACAATTACTTGACAATTTAAAAGCAGTGTAAGGGAGGTAATCCAAACACAACGATTTGATTACCTCCCTTACACTGCTTTTAAATTATGTATAAAGAAATGTTGTATTGTCTTGAGATGATTAGCTGTCAATTTATTTTTAGAAGTTACTATTAAGGAATATTAATTTTAGCCATGATTATGTATGTCATTTTCTATTTTAAGACTTTTATGATGTATTTAAATGGGTAATTATGGTTGCAAACTCCATTGGAAATTTGAATTCAGATTATGACCATATCTTGAGGGAAAGATTTTTTTTGGGGGGTAAAAAGGAGGGGGGGGGGGTTAAAAAGAAATTGTGGGGGGTCAATTTTTTCTAATTTCAGATTTCAGAAATTAAAAAGAAAAATTCTTCAAATAGTATTTTTTTTGCACAAAAGCAAACAACCGGGGTAAAATAATTTTTTTTGGTTAGGGGGGGGGGGGGGGGGGGGGGGGGCAATACGCAACAGCATAGTGTATTGCACAAAAGCAAAAAAAATGAATATAAATTCAAATCAAATTACCAATTCTAAGTTCTTTGACAACAGTTATTCTGTGTCAGAAACCTATTATGTGTCAAATATTTAATTACAATCCAAATTCCGACCTGTATCAAGCACGAATATTGTGTCCATTTTTGCCCCAACTGTTCAGGGTTGGACCTCTGCGGTCGTATCCAGCTGCGCTCAGCGAAGCTATTTATTAGCTGATTCTAGAAACATCAAATACAGTGATGGAAGTATATATAATATAATAGTGTATATCGAAGGGTTCAGTGGTAATAAATTTGTTTGTTTGTGATCAATATCATTTGTTTTTTTAGCATTAAGAGTTACCTCCTTTACAATGGTTTTGTTATAAAGAAATGTTGTATTGTCTTGAGGTGATTAGCTGTCAATTTATTTTTAGAAGTTAGTATTAAATGCTGATGAAGGTATATTAATTTTAGCCATGATTATGTATGTCATTTTCTATTTTAATACTTTTATGATGTATTTAAATGGGTTTTTATGGTTGCAAACTCCATTGGAAATTATGACCATATCTTGAGGGAAAGAATTTTTTTTTGGAAAAAAGGGGGGGGGGGGGGTGGAGTTAAACAAAAATTGGGGTGGGGGGTAAAAAAAAATTGGGGGGGTGGGTACAATTTTTTCTCAAGATTTCAGAAATTAAAAAGAAAATTTCTTAAATATTATTTAATTTTTTTTTGGGGGGGGGGGGGGGTCGGAGGGATAGTTTATAGTGAATTGCACAACAGCAAGAAATCTTCAATTGATAAATTCAAATCATAACCAATTTCAAGTTTTTTTTACTACATTTATTCTGTGTCAGAAACCTATAATGTGTCAAATATTTAATTACAATCCAAATTCAGACCTGTATCAAGCTTGAATATTGTGTCCATTTTTGCCCCAACTGTTCAGGGTTGGACCTCTGCGGTCGTATCCAGCTGCGCTCGGAGAAGCACATTTATTGGAATATATACTTGCAGAAGAGAGTTGCATAGGGTTTCCGGATAACTCCTCCTACAGTTTGAATGCTAGGAAGTTTTCACTTTTCTGGCTGTTTGTACATATATTGAAGGTGTGCATGTGGTCAGGGTTTTGATTTTTGATTCAGCCATGCTGGATCTATGCGATCACTCTGGTTTTGGAGATGGTGCAGAATACTAAATTGAAGACATATCATGAAACTAATTATGTGTTTTTATGACTTGCAGAAACTTTCTTCACCATTTTAATCATCAACTGCAAACTTTTGACATCTTATTTGTCATATATTTGTATAAGAAAAGATTGGTTGAATAGTGACTTTATTTTAGATATACACTTGCATATAGTTCCTCTCTAAATCAAAATTTATGATGATTTACTATTTATGAATTAATTTGAAAAAGTATTTGTACATCAATTGAATCAGTTGATAAGAATTTTGAAAGTATTATATTAGTATCTTGTGCTTGTGTAAATTATTTTTCAATGAAATGTAGGTCAACATGTGTATTAATATATCTAAGTTGATTCCAACACTTTTTATACAACTGCAAAAAAATTTTGCGGTCGTATATTGGTATGACGTTGGTGTCATCGTCCGCGTCGCTGTTCGAAGACACATAGGTTTTCGCACTCTGACTTTAGTTTAAGTGAATGGATCTCTATGATATTTTACCATAAGGTTCAATACCACAAAAGGAAAGACGGGATTGATTTTGGGGGTTATGGTACCAACAGTTAAGGAATTGGGGGCCAAAAAGGGGCCAAAAATAAGCATTTTTGTAACTTCCAGACATAACTTGTGTGTTTGTGTATGGATCTCTCTGACATTGTACCACAAGCTGGGATTGATTTTGGAGGTAATTGCCTCAAAATTTAAGGAATAGGGGGCAAAAAAAGTGGCAAAAAACAAGCATTTTTCTAGTTTCATGACAATAACTTGTGTGTAAGTCTATGGATCTTTCTGAAATTGTACTACAAGGTTCCATATCACAAAGGGAAAGCTGGAATTGAGTTTGAGGGTAATTGCCCAAAACGTTTAGGAATAAGGGGCCAAAAATAAGCATTTTTCTAGTTTCCAGACAATAACTTGTGTTCAAGTGTATGGATCTCTCTGAAATTGTACTGCAAGGTACCATACCACAAAGGGAAGGCTGGGATTGAGTTTGGGGGTGATGAATCATAAGGGGGTTCAAAAAATTTGGGGGGGATTTTTTTTCCCTTTTTTTTGTTTAAAATTTTCCTTTTTAAATTGGTTATTTCTGATTTATATATAAAAGCAAATAATAATGATATGGTTTGAATAGGTAAATTAAAAAATTTTAAGTTCTTAGACCACATTCATTCTGTGTCAGAAACCTATGCTGTGTCAAATATTTAATCACAATCCAAATTCAGTGCTGTATCAAGCTCATACTTGCCCCAACTGTTCAGGGTTCGACCTCTGTGGTCGTATCAAGCTGCGCCCAGCGGAGCATTTTATTTTAAATGGTATTACTCCAATTCTTTCCATAGGCAAGTAAGAGTCAGAATGATTATTAACTGTCATGATTTTCAATTAAGTATTAATTGGAAACAACCCCAGGCTTAATTCAAAACAGTTAATATCTCATGACCTGTTACATAATTAAATAGACACAATTTATTACACACCTAACTGAATACACACATTCTTGACCTCAATAGTAAACCTACAAATGTATTATTTATTTTGATCTACACTACATTAAAATATTCTGTTAATTTTGCTAGCTAGCTGAATAATTAATCTGATGTGGGTTTTTTTTTCAAAGAAAACACTTAAAATGAAAAAAATATGTATAAAAAATGCAAGCAATTTTTATTTTACTTGTAAAATCAGTGCCATTATCATCTGGCATAAGTCAATAATCATGTTCTAATTAATTAGTTACAATTATTATCAGAAATTTTGTTGAAATATAAAACAAAATGGCATAACTCTTACCTGAACATTTTCTGCAATAAAATTTATTTGTTTGTTTTACATTTATATCCCATTATATTGCTATTTAACATTAATTGGAAATATCTCAGCATTAGGTATTTGTACATTCAGATTTGAATACAGGAAATGTATTTTTCTTGACCCTTTCACCGATAGCTGCCCAGACAGAAGCTACTCTGAGACGATGGCTTCCCTGGCTACTATTACTCAAGTGGGAGATCTTCATAATAAATGTCAATAAAAACTTGTCTGTAGTATTTTGTGTCTTTATTTCATTCACTAACACCATGTTCACAGTTTTGTTCATGTTTTGATAATTTTTTCTTCATAAAATATTCAAATTTTCAAATTTTCGGCATTATCTAGGTGAAATTCTCAAAATTCTACTTTTTGACCCAAAATCGTAATTTTTAAACCCAAAACGGCAAAATTTTGAAAAATTTAATGAGGCTGTACAAATTCCTTACACTGAACGATGTCCATTCCAAGTGTTTTGTACATAAAACGACATTTTATGTCAAAAAAGTATACTAGTTTGGCTTCAATTTTTCCATATACTTTCAAAAAAAATGTTCCCTCATTTTAAATTCTCGTAAATTCCGTAAATTTCCTCTGATTTTGACACGGTTTTCAACAAATGGAAGCGCTATGTTTACACTTTCATCCGGGTATTCAACAAACAAAGATAACTCGTGTTTGCACTGTTTTGAGCGGGAAATATAAAAGAGGTATTCCGATCCCGGTAAAACGGGACTCATCGTCAGCTGTCTGAAGCGTGATTCCCGGTAAACTAGGACTCATCGGCGAAAGGGTTAATGAAGAATGAACACCAATTTAGATAAAAAATAGTTTTATTTTTTTTAACATTTGTTGTTGAGAAAGTGCATTTATAAGGCCTCTTTCTGGAAATTATTAAACCTGTCATTATTAATGGCATATAAAAAATATATTACTTGTTTGACGATTTTCCTTTCCATTCTTGTCAAAAATAAAATCTGACACAGTCTAAAATTGAAAGATCAGTATATATATTTATATTTGCATCAATATTGCGAAATTCCCTACCTTTGGACAATAACAGAGAAATTTTACAGTAAGATTGGAAATGAAAAGAGAAAAAATTTAGAAAAAAGTATGGTCAGAAAGAATATCAGACTAGCTATGAATATGGCTGAATCACAACATCAACACTGCTTTGATTATTAATATTTGTTCTTTTGGGAGATAGTTGAACTTTGTCAGTTTTTGGAGTATTTACTTGCATAAGAGGTGCATAGCGTTTCCGGACAACTCCTCCTACAGTTTGAATGCTAGAAAGTTTTCACTTTTCTGGCTGTTTGTACATAGATTGAAGGTGTGCATGTGGTCAGGGTTTTGATTTTTATTAATATTTGCTCTTTTGGGAGATAGTTGAACCTTGTCATTTTTTGGAGTATTTACTTGCATAAGAGGTGCATAGCGTTTCCGGATAACTCCTCCTACAGTTTGAATGCTTGGAAGTTTTCACTTTGCTGGCTGTTTGTACATATATTGAAGGTGTGCATGTGGTCAGGGTTTTGATTTTTGTCGAGCCTTCGACTTTAGTCGAAAAAGCGAGACATAGCGATCCTACATTCCGTCGGCGTCGGCGGCGTCCACAAATATTCACTCTGTGGTTAAAGTTTTTGAAATTTTAATAACTTTCTTAAACTATCCTGGATTTCTACCAAAATTGGACAGAAGCTTGTTTATGATCACAAGATAGTATCCAGAAGTAAATTTTGTAAAAATAAAATTCCATTTTTTCCGTATTTTACTTATAAATGGACTTAGTTTTTCTGCCGGGAAATATTACATTCACTCTGTGGTTAAAGTTTTTAAAATTTTAATAACTTTCTTAAACTATCCTGGGTTTGTACCAAACTTGGACAGAAGCTTGTTTATGATCATAAGATAGTATCCAGAAGTAAATTTTGTAAAAATATAAATCCATTCTTTCCTTGTTTTACTTTTAAATGGACTTAGATTTTCTGCCAGGAAACAACACATTCACTCTGTGGTTAAAGTTTTTAAAATTTTAATAACTTTCTTATACTATTTTGGATTTGTACCAAACTTTGTCATTACATTCAGTCTCAGTTAAAGTTTTTAAACATTTATTAATTTCATAAACTATCCTTGATTTTTACCAAACTTTGACAGAAGCTTCTTACAATCAAAAGATAGTATCAAGTGGAATATTTTTATTGATTTACTTCCTCATTTTTTTATACGACCGCAAAAATTGAAAATTTTTTGGTCGTATATTGGTATGACGTTGGCGTCGTCGTCGTCGTCGTCCGGCGTCGTCCGAAGACACATTGGTTTTCGCACTCTAACTTTAGTTTAAGTGAATGGATCTCCATGAAATTTTACCATAAGGTTCGACTTCAATACCACGAAAGGAAGGTGGGGATTGATTTTGGGGGTTATGGTACCAACAGTTAAGGAATTAGGGGCCAAAAAGGGGCCAAAAATAAGCATTTTTGTAACTTCCAGACAATAACTTGTGTGTAAGTGTATGGATCTCTCTGACATTGTACCACAAGGTTCCATATCACAAAGGGAAGGCTGTAATTGATTTTGGGGGTAATTGCCTCAAAATTTTAGGAATTAGGGGCCAAAAAAGGGGCAAAAAACAAGCATTTTTCTAGTTTCATGACAATAACTTGTGTGTAAGTGTTTGGATATTTCTGAAATTGTACTACAAGGTTCCATATCACAAAGGGAAAGCTGGAATTGAGTTTGGGGGTAATTGCCCGAAACGTTTAGGAATTGGGGGCCAAAAAGGGGCCAAAAATAAGCATTTTTCTAGTTTCCAGACAATAACTTGTGTTCAAGTGTATGGATCTCTCTGAAATTGTACTGCAAGGTACCATACCACAAAGGGAAGGCTGGGATTGAGTTTGGGGGTGATGAATCATAAGGGGGTTCAAAAAATTTGGGGGGGGGGATTTTTTTTTTTCTTTTTTTTCCTTTTTTTCCTTTTTTTTTTCTTTTAAAATTTTCCATTTTAAGTTGGTTATTTCTGATTAATATTTAAAAGCAAATAATAATGATATGGTAGGAGATACACACCAAACAGGATGTGTAAATTATTATATAATAAGTATTGTGCAATAGCAAGACATTTTCAATTGCACAGTATTGCACAATTGCAAGAAATCTTCAATTGCACAGTATTGCGCAATAGCAAGAAATCTTCAATTGCACAGTATTGCACAATAGCAAGAAATATCCAATAGCACAATATTGCGCAATAGCAAGAAATTGTCAATTGTACAGTATTGCACAATAGCAAGAAATATTCAATTGCACAGTATTGTGCAAAAGAAGATACTTCGTATAAATTGCTTATTTCTTGATCAATTTCAATGGGGTTTTATTCTTGAATTCTTGGGGTTCTTTAATATGCTGAATCTAACCGTGTATTAAGTTTTTGGATTTTGGGCCCCGTTTTTAAATTGGTCCACATTGAGGTCCAAAGGGTCCAAAATTTAACTTTGTTTGATTTCATCAAAAATTGAATTATTGGGGTTCTTTGATATGCCGAATCTAACCGTGTATTTAGATTCTTAATTTTTGGTTCCGTTTTCAAATTGGTCTACATTAAGTTCAAAAGGGTCCAAAATTAAACTTAGTTTGATTTTAACAAAAATTGAATTTTTAGGGTACTTTGATATGCTGAATCTAAACATGTATTTAGATTTTTGATTATGGGCCCAGTTTTCAAGTTGGTCCAAATCGGGGTCCAAAATTAAACTTTGTTTGATTTCAACAAAAATTGAATATATGGGGTTCTTTGATATGCTGAATCTAACCATGTATTTAGATTTTTGATTTTTGGGCCCCGTTATCAACTTTGTCCACATTGAGGTCAAAAGGGTCCAAAACTAAACTTTGTTTGATTTCATCAAAAATTGAATTCTTGGGGTTCTTTGATATGCTGAATCTAACCATGTATTTAGATTTTTTATTTGTGGACCCGCTATCAAATTGGTTCATATTGAGGTCAAAAGGGTCCAAAATTAAACTTTGTTTGATTTCATCAAAAATTGAATTATTGGGGTTCTTTGATATGCCAAATCTAACCATGTATTTAGATTTTTAATTTTGGGTCCCGTTTTTTAAATTGGTCTACATTAAGGTCCAAAGGGTCCAAAATTAAACTTAGTTTGATTTTAACAAAAATTGAATTTTTGGGGTTCTTTGATATGCTGAATCTAAACATGTGTTTAGATTTTTGATTATGGGACCAGTTTTCAAGTTGGTCCAAGTTGGGGTCAAAAATTAAACTTTGTTTGATTTCAACAAAAATTGAATATATGGGGTTCTTTGATATGCTGAATCTAAACATGTATTTAGATTTTAGATTTTTGGCCCAGTTTTCAAGTTGGTCCAAATTGGGGTCCAAAATTAAACTTTGTTTGATTTCAACAAAAATTGAATATGTGGGGTTCTTTGATATGCTGAATCTTACCATGTATTTAGATTTTTTATTTTGTGGGCCTGCTATCAAATTGGTTCATATTGAGGTCAAAAGGGTCCAAAATTAAACTTTGTTTGATTTCATCAAAAATTGAATTATTGGGGTTCTTTGATATGCCAAATCTAACCGTGTTTTTAGATTTTTAATTTTGGGTCCCGTTTTTTAAATTGGTCTACATTAAGGTCCAAAGGGTCCAAAATTAAACTTAGTTTGATTTTAACAAAAATTGAATTCTTGGGGTACTTTGATATGCTGAATCTAAACATGCGTTTAGATTTTTGATTATGGGACCAGTTTAAAGTTTGTACAAGTTGGGGTCCAAAATTAAACTTTGTTTGATTTCAACAAAAATTGAATATATGGGGTTCTTTGATATGCTGAATCTAACCATGTATTTTGATTTTGGACATTGGACCATAATAGGTAAATTAAAAAAAATTGAAGTTCTTAGACCACATTCTTTCTGTGTCAGAAATCTATGCTGTGTCAAATATTTAATCACAATCCAAATTCAGAGCTGTATCAAGCTTGAATGTTGTGTCCATACTTGCCCCAACTGTTCAGGGTTCGACCTCTGCGGTCGTATCAAGCTGCGCCCAGCGAAGCATTTTATTGTTGAGTCTGTAATTAAGAGAAAAAGTAGGCGAGACACTGGGTTCCGCGGAACCCTTACGAATTTTTATTAATATTTGCTCTTTTAGGAGATAGTTGAACTTTGTCATGTTTGGAGTATATACTTGCATAAGAGGTGCATAGCGTTTCCAGATAACTCCTCCTACAGTGAACCATAGACCTATGTGCTCCCATGCTCAACTTTGTGTATTTTAGAATAACACTTTGCATCTGTGGGGGCATCATTTGTGTCTCCCAGACACAATATAAAATCTCAATGAAAGTCCTACATTGACTATGTTATAATACACGTACAGTTACTTCAAGTTCAGAGTGGAGCGGGGGGCATCACTTTGTCTAGTTTTTAGTTTATTCTCCATAAAATTTATTTTTGCAAAGTTAATCATTTGAATACAGGAAGTGTTTATTTGCAAGGAAGAATAAACTCCAATTTCAATAAAAATAAGTTTTTAAATTTGTTTATGTTAAAAAAAAGTACATTTTCAATGCCTTTTTCTGAAAATATTACACCCTACAACTCTAAATCTTCTGTGTCATTAAATAATGATAATTGTTTTATAAAATCAATAAGCAATTCTTATAGGAGAAAAATAGTATACCTATGTTTCAATTTACAAAATGCCCTCAAGACAGCCTTTTTAGATAAATTTTTGGAGACAATCAAGATCTTAGTTTCAAGTCTATCTGCATGTTGGTCCCATGTCCTACAAGGATAATTGATAAATTTCATTAGAAGAATCTTTATTTGGTAATTTCTTCTGTTTCTAAAGATAAAACTCAAAAGGTGAAACATGTAAAAAGTAAAATAACAAAAAAGCTGAACTCCAAAATTCAAAACGGAAAGTCCCTAATCAGGGAACATTATTTGGTTAAGATATGAAATTGCAATTTAAATGAAATTGTTGTGCAAGTTAAGGGACCTGCTATCATTGATTCACTCATTTTACCTACTGAAAAGTGCTTATCCTTCTAAAGACCTGCAGTTAATGCAATTTTCTGCAATAGTGCTATATAAATGTTCTTTTTTGTGCACACCATACCTAAATATAATTTGAAATTATTCAAGCTACTCTTCCAATCTTTCCATAAGTGATTTCCATCACTTTGATTTTCCCATGAAAATGGTCAGTGACTTTTGATCTTGATTTCTGAAAAACTGCACAATATTTTCTTTTGACGTCCAAATTAATTTTAAAGTACACACATTTCGAATCGAATGATATATAATATAGTCGTGTAGTAGTTTTGACGATTAAATTTTGAACATTCTGACTCGGGTCACCGGGCTATTATCTTGAAAACTATAATAGTCTGACAATAAAAACTGTAAAGGAAAAATTATCAGCAGGATAATTTCTACAAACATGTAAACATGACTGAAATTGTCAGTTAACTCTTAATAGAGTTATTCCCCTTTTATGATGATTTATACTTAAAAGTGGCCATTGTTGAAGATGCAGGTGAGCAACACAGGCTCTTTAGAGTCTCCAGTTTAATATTTTCTGGGTGGGCATCCATTCCCCCCTCGCCCCCAACCCCCTAGCAGTCACAGAAGGCAAGATGTAGGTGTTGCTTTTCCAGCAACAGCAGCGTCAACAATAGTTAGTTTGTGATAATAATAATAAATTCTTTATTTAAATGTGATAGATCAATAATATTTTGTATGAAGTTTCATAACAATCAGTACATATCAATTTGACGACTGTTTTGAGGCCCCGCCCCCTAGGTCATGGTCCAGTGACTTGGAATTAATTACCCATTTTGAATTAAAGTTTCTGCTTAAGTAAGTTAGTTTGATAGGAACTACTCACAATAGACAATGATATTTCCATAAATTCACATTAGTAGACCATTTTGAGGCCCTGCCTACTAATTCATGGTCAAGGGACTTTCAATTAATTAGAAGTGACTGTCCATCAGATTCTTTTTATGCCCCCGACGTAGCGGTGGAGGCATTAAGTTTTACCCTTGTCCGTCTGTACGTACGTACGTCCCATAATTGGTTTCCGTTCTCTAACTTGAGTTTGCCTCAACTACATGTTATGAAACTTATACACAATGCTTATTACCACAAAACACAGATCAAGTTTGAATTTTTGTGGTGTCACTTTAACCGTTCTAGAGTTATGCTCCTTTATAAATGGAAAAATTGCAAAATTTTTAGTTTCCGTTCTCTAACTCAAGTTTGCCTCAACCAAATGTTATGAAACTTATACACAATGGTTATTACCACAAAACACAGATCAAGTTTGAATTTTGGTGGCGTCACTTTAACCGTTCTAGAGTTATGCTTCTTTATAAATGGAAAAATTGCAAAATTTTTAGTTTCCGTTCTCTAACTTAAGTTTGCCTCAACCAAATGTTATGAAACTTATACACAATGCTTATTACCACAAAACACAGATCAAGTTTGAATTTTGGTGACGTCACTTTAACCATTCTAGAGGTATGCTCCTTTATACATGGAAAAATTGCAAAATTTTTAGTTTCCGTTCTCTAACTTAAGTTTGCCTCAACCAAATGTTATGAAACTTATACACAATGGTTATTACCACAAAACACAGATCAAGTTTGAATTTTTGTGGTGTCACTTTAACCGTTCTAGAGTTATGCTCCTTTATAAATGGAAAAATTGCAAAATTTTTAGTTTCCGTTCTCTAACTTAAGTTTGCCTCAACCAAATGTTATGAAACTTATACACAATGGTTATTACCACAAAACACAGATCAAGTTTGAATTTTGGTGGCGTCACTTTAACCGTTCTAGAGTTATGCTTCTTTATAAATGGAAAAATTGCAAAATTTTTAGTTTCCGTTCTCTAACTTAAGTTTGCCTCAACCAAATGTTATGAAACTTATACACAATGCTTATTACCACAAAACACAGATCAAGTTTGAATTTTGGTGACGTCACTTTAACCGTTCTAGAGTTATGCCCCTTTATAAATGGAAAAATTGCAAAATTTTTATTTTCTTCTAAATATCAAGTTTTTTTTTAAATTGGAGTTATATTCCTTTGTCCATGATTATAGTTGAATCAACTACAATCAATGCTTTATACAATGCAATGTTTAATTTTGACTTCCACTGATAAAACACAGATCAAGTTGAATTTTGGTAGTGTCACTTTAACCATTATTGAGTTATGCCCCTTTATAAATCGAAAGATTGCAAAATTTTTAGTTTCCATTCTGTAACTTAAGTTTGCCCCAACCAAACATTATGAAACCTATACACAATATTCATTACCACAAAACTTAGATCAAATACGAATTTTTTGTTTCCATTTTCTAACTTTAGTTTGCCTCAACCAAATGTTATGAAACTTATACACAATGCATATTACTACATAATACAGATTAAGTACGAAATTTGGTGAGAACACTTTTACCATTCTTGAGTTATGTCCCTTTATAAACATAAAACTTGCTGAATTTTTCGTTTCCGTTCTCTAACTTTAGTTTGTCTCAACCAAATGTTATAAAACTTATACACAACCGTTCTAGAGTTATGCGTGTTTACAAATAGAAAAATTGCTGAATTTTTGTTTCTGTTCTCTACTTAAGTTAGCCTCAATGCTTATTACCACAAAACTCAGATCAAGTTCAAATTTGGGTAGCGTCACTTTTACCGTTCTTCAGTTATGTCCCTTTATAACTATATGCTATGCAAGCGGGGCATCATCTGTGTCCACATGTGGACACTATCCACATTTATTTTTGTAGCAAGTAAGCAGTTTTTACATGTGCTGTGTAGCCACTTACTGTTTTTAGATAGTTTGAAACTTTGCAACACTCATTGGAATGATTTAAAATTTGATCTGCAGTTTGATAATGTTGAGTTGTAGTGAGTAAGCAATTTTTATAGGAATGCAAAATTTTTTTGTTCGTATAATGTTAACATGTTGTCAGTGTTGTCGTCGTCGTCTGAAGACCTTTGGTTTCCAGACAATAACTTGAGTATAAATGTATGGATCTCTATGAAATTGTACCACAAGGTTACAGACCACAACAGGAAGATTGAGATTGATTTTGGGGGTTATTGTTCTAACTGTTAAGGTATTAGGGGCCATTTTTTTGGGGGGATTTATTTTTTCATAATTTTTTGGGTTTTTCTTCCCAAAATTTTTCCATTTTTACATTGATTATTTCTGATTTATATATTTCTGATTTATATATAAAAGCAACAAATACTGATATGGCAGGAGATACACACCAAACAGGGTGTGTAGATAGTGAATATTATATGGCTTTTTCAATATCACATCCGTATCAACCTGAGACACTAATATAATCCCAAGATCTCTGCTTGAGGGATTGTATTGGTTGAGGGTTGATACGGTGTGTGATATTGAATTGGCCATATCATATACACATTATTATATATCTAAAATAGATGTTTTTTATACGACCGCAAAAATTTTTTGTGGTCGTATATTGGTATCACTTCGTCGTCCGAAGACACTTGACCACAAAAGGAAGGTTGGGATTGATTTTGGGGGTTATGGTCCTAACAGTTTATGAATTAGGGGCCAAAAAAGGGGCCCAAATAAGCATTTTTATACGCCCGTTTACGGGACGTATTATGGTATATCGTTGACCGTCTGTCCATCCGTCCGTCATCAACATGTCGAACATTAACTCAAAAAAGCTTTAACCAATATGCATGAAACTTTGGTGAATTGTTTATATCTATTGATGTGAGCTCCCTTTTGTTTTTTTTATAAATTTCAGATTTACCGTTCAGGCCTCTACATTATCATTTTTTCTAACTTATCCCTTCGGACAAGTTGCAAGAAAATCAACTTGTCCGAACTCTTAACTCACTTGTCCGAATTCATAATTGAAAATCTTACATACTGATGATATGCAATAATAACACTTGCGCTTTGATTGTACCTAATAAAGGGAGCATTTTGTTTTGTTATATGAATACCACATCAAAATAAATTTTATTATTTCAGACTGAAAGATTATTTACAAGACTGAGTTCTCTGACTCAATGTCACTATCATGTGTCGATCATTAAATTATCATCTCTAATCCCAAATCACTAGGTTCTCCTATGGACCTATAATCATTCTGTGGTAGTGGTATGGGTTAAACCAAGGATGTAAATACACCTGGCCACCTTGTATATAATTAAACCTTTCTAATTTATTGATGGTGTCAAAAGAATCTTTTACAATTTATTTTGATTTTTATATACATTGATATATGATCATGAAGTACATAAAACATTTCACTAAAAAATCTGTCTTTTTAGATTTTATTTAATTTTTACATCTTTTAATATATAGATCTTATTCAATAAAACCTCTTTTAATGTATTGTTATGCATAAAAGCAAAATCAAATGAAACATACTTTAATTTAAAATTTTAAACTTAAGGTAAAATTCCATATGGAGGTGCTCCTAATTCAAGGAGGCTTATACTAAAAAGAAGCATTAACATTGGTTTCTTTCCCCCTTACTTATATTCCCCTGGTCAATGGCTGCCAGCATGTTCAAATATGTTCAATCACAGACATAAAATACAAGTATTATATGTCTCTGGTACAATCAATGAATATTTATTTCATTTTGTATGATCAATAAAACCAGACTGATAAAACAATCATTCATATTTTTGGGAATGTATAAGTCTTGAATTTGACCTATTTTACATCTGACCTCGATTTTTCACGGCACTTGTCCCATCGGACAAGTAGTATGGTGAATCTACTTGCCCAACGCCCATGTCCACTTGACCAGGACAATCGGACAAACGGTAATGACGAGCCCTGCCGTTTCCGAGTTTTGGGGTTTATTTCATTAAAAAAGGGGGATTTTCCAGTTTTCCGACAATAACTCAAGAATGCTTTCACCAACTTGCAAGAAATTTTGTTGAATTGTTTATATCTGTTGATGTAAGCTCCCTTTAGAATTTTATAAATTTTAGATTTTACATTTCTGAGTTATGGGGTTTTATTCATTAAAAAAGGGGGGATTTTCCAGTTTTTGGACAATAACTCAAAAATGCTTTCAGCAGTTCTCATAAACTTTGGTGAATTATTTATAGCTATTGATGTAATCTCCCTATTGATTTTCATAAATTTCAAGTATGACATTGAGAAGAAATTGAACTTTATTTGTTTATAGTCTGACAACAGATTTACTAAGTATTGCGCAACAGCACAGTGTATTACACAACAGAAAGAAATCTTTAATTGAATATAAATTCAATTCATATAACCAGTTTCAAGTTCTGTGACTATATTTCAGGGACTAAACTTAACTCTTTTTGTCCAGGGGCCAGCTGGGCCCCCAAATTTTTTTTTCAGGGGCCCAGTTGAAATTTAAGTTGCTCAACCAGTTTTTATACTAATAAAACTTGAATGAACTTTTCATATACTAATATCCTATATGTAGTTTTTGTTCTTTCCAAATAATATATGCAGTTATAGTACTCAAACTTTTCCTACATTTGTGTCTTAATGTGTTGTTTTTTACAATAGTGCAGTGTTGGCCCTAGAGTTTTTTTATAGGACTGTGTTAAGTGCTCGATATAAGGCAGATTCACCTTTCATTTTCCGACGTGAAGTAAAATATGTACTTCATTTTTATACATAATGCATTAACAGAAACAGAAAAAGTTGCACTTTTATTATATTTAATATTGAAATACATTTGTAGATATTGTGTTTTTGATTACCCCATCCCCCTTTCCTTTTTATACTGCGGTCGTATATTGGTATGGCGTTGGCGTTGGCGTCGTCGTCCGAAGACACATTGGTTTTCGCACTCTTAACTTTAGTTTAAGTGAATGGATCTCTTTGAAATTTTACCATAAGGTTCAATACCACAAAAGGAAGGTGGGGATTGATTTTGGGGGTTATGGTACCAACAGTTAAGGAATTAGGGGCCAAAAAGGGGCCAAAAATAAGCATTTTCTAGTTTCCAGACAATAACTGTGGAACAGTGTATGGATCTCTCTGAAATTATACTACAAGTTTCCATACCACAAAGGGATGGTTAGGATTGGCTTTGGGGGGTTATGGCTCAAACCGTTTAGGAATTAGGGGCAAAAAAGGGGAAAAACAAGGTTGTCCTGGTTAATGGACAAATACTTTAGTACAAAACATAATTTAAAGCAGTGTAAGGGAGATAAATCAAATACATCATTGAAATTATCTCCCTTACACTGCTTTTAAATTATGTATAAAGTAATGGTTAATGAACAATTAAGATAATTTAAAACAGTGTAAGGGAGGTAATCCAAATACAACATTTTGGTTACTTCCCTTACACTGCTTTTAAATTATGTTTAAAGAAATGCATATTTATAAAGGAAGACCAGTAAAAATATCTGCAAATGTTGCATCTTTTTTTTTTACAAAAAAATCCATATGAAAGATTTGACACTATATTTTAAATTCTATTATAAAATAGATTAAGTTAGCACTATGGTAAATTTAAATGGGTAATTATGGTTGCAAACTCCATTGGAAATATGAAATGAGATTATGACCATATCTTGAGGGAAAGAATTTTTTTGGGGAAAAAAGGGGGGGGGGGGGGGGGGTGGTAAAAAGAAATTGTGGGGGGTCAATTTTTTTCTCATTTCAGATTTCAGAAATTAAAAAGAATTATTCTTCAATTATTGTTTTTTTTTCAACTTTCAAATATTGAAAAATTTCAAGAAGTAATCTTTAATTGCACAGTATGGCGCATTAGATTTGTAAAATCTTTGACCACATTTATTTATTTGTTATGCCGAATCTAACCGTGTATTTAGATTTTTAATTTTGGGTCCAGTTTTCAAATTGGTCTACATTAAGGTCCAAAGGGTCCAAAATTAAACTTTGTTTGATTTTAACAAAAATTGAATATATGGGGTTCTTTGATATGCTGAATCTAAACATGAATTTAGATTTTTGATTTTGGACCCAGTGTTCAAGTTGGTCCAAATTGGGGTCCAAAATTAAACTTTGTTTGATTTCAACAAAAATTGATTATATGGGGTTCTTTGATATGCTGAATCTAACCATGTATTTAGATTTTTTATTTGTGGACCATGCTATCAAATTGGTTCATATTGAGGTCAAAAGGGTCCAAAATTAAACATTGTTTGATTTCATCAAAAATTGAATTATTTGGGTTCTTTGATATGCCAAATTTAACCGTGTTTTTAGATTTTTAATTTATGGTCCTGTTTTTTAAATTGGTCTACATTAAGGTCCAAAGGGTCCAAAATTTAACTTAGTTTGATTTTAACAAAAATTGAATTCTTGGGGTTCTTTGATATGCTGAATCTAAACATGTGTTTAGATTTTTTATTATGGGCCCAGTTTTCAAGTTGGTCCAAGTTGGGGTCCAAAATTAAACTTTGTTTGATTTCAACAAAAATTGAATATATGGGGTTCTTTGATATGCTGAATCTAAACATGTATTTAGATTTTTGATTATGGGCCCAGTTTTCAAGTTGGTCCAAGTTGGGGTCAAAAATTAAACTTTTTTTGATTTCAACAAAAATTGAATATATGGGGTTCTTTGATATGCTGAATCTAACCATGTATTTTGATTTTGGACATTGGACCATAATAGGTAAATTAAAAAAATTCAAGTTCTTAGACCACATTCTTTCTGTGTCAGAAACCTATGCTGTGTCAAATATTTAATCACAATCCAAATTCAGAGCTGTATCAAGCTTGAATGTTGTGTCCATACTTGTAACCAAACATTTTGTTTTATTTGCATTAATGAACATGTTATTCATTTTGCACCACTCTTCAACCCTGTATAAATCTTCTTGAACATCATCATGTATATTAAAATTACTTAGCATCACTGTAGAACTCTTATGGGAAGTTTCTTTTGAATAATCAAAAAAATTATGAACTTGCCTGTTGCTAAGATCAAAAGTATCTGTTTTTGTAGTACAAAACATCAGGCAACCTGTGCCCTCTAATATGCAATTGAGGAATCAAAGGAATATAGAATTTTTCAGTGGAAGTTAGGATAAGGTAAAGTTTCGAATTGAAATGACTCACTTTATTTGAATTTTAAGACAAAATAGCTATGCTTGCTTGAAATTGCAGAATTTAGCATAGAAAGCAATGGCCCTATGCAAAAGTGGTTTTATTCCTATTAATCTGAAAACTATTATAGATAGGTAGAAACTAAAAATAATCAGAAATACAAGATCTCCAAAGCTGCCAGTACAACCTAAACAATTGGACAATTTCCTAAGAAGTTATAGCTTTTAAAAGACAATTTTTGTGACTGTCATGTACTTTTTCAAAGATCTTCACCTTCTGAAACTACTGAACCAATTTTAACTAAACTTTGAAGCTTGTGTCCCCCCCCCTCTTCCAACAGTCAGCAAACATGGCTGCAATGGCTAATCATAGAACTTAAGGATAAAATTCATTAGATGTTTTATATCTTGAAAACCATAATAGAGATGGAGAAAATCTGACAGGGGAAAAAATGATCAGAATGTCAATATCTACCTACCTTCTATTTTCACCAAATAATGTTGTTGCATTGTATCAATTTATTTTTAGCAAAAAGCTCCTGGTGGCCTTCTGCTTTTATATTGTAATCAGTTTTTCTTTTCTTATTTCAGTATTTGATATACATCAGATAGTTGATGGAATACAGGAGTCTGGAAGAGGCCAACATGTGTAAGTTTGAACAATGTTCAGTTGTATTGAAGAAAATTAAGTTTTATTTAAATTACTTGTGCAAAGCTATAATATGAGTCTTGATAGGATGTAGAAGCAATAGTGTTAATACCATAATTACAATACATAATTATTTCCCCTGCAACAAACTTTGGGGGTAAATAGGAATACCACTGTCCATCTGTCTGTCTGTCCTTCCATCTATCTATCACTCCCGGTTTGTGTCTTGTGCATAACTTTTGCCCTTGAAAGACTAATTTAACTTATTTTTTGTGTTTTGATTGAAATTGTAAAAAGCAAAAGTGTTCAGCAAAATAAGATCTACAAATAGACCAAATTGACTGCTTATTGGAGTTATTGCCCTTGGAAGATTTTCATCATTTTTTTTCATTTTTTCCAGAAACTATTATAGACAGAGAGAAATTGTAATTGCAAAGATGTAATGTACAATAAGATTTACATATAATGCAACATGGAAGAAATTGTCAACTGACTCCATTATTGCCCCTGAATGACCATTTTTACCCCATGTACCCTTTTTGTGACTTTTTTGTAGAAACAAAGAGAACAAAATATAGCAAAAATGTTCAGCAAAAAAAGATCTACAAATAAGTGAACATGGTTGAAATAATCAATTGCTTTGACAAAAATGAACTGAATGTTTACCAAAATTCAAGGTAATTAAAATGTGTATCAAAAACATTACTTTGCGGACATGTTGCTAGCGGTACGAAATATCGAAACAAATAGTATGGGATCCATATACATCAAACGACATGAACTAGCTAGAAAGGATCCAACGTAGAGCTGCAACATTTATTACAGGGGACTATAAATCAAGAGAAGAGGGATAGGTCATCAAAATCCTTACTGAGTTTAGAATTAGACAACCTGCAGTCCAAAAGAACAAGCAAGACTGTACAAGGTGGTTGAGGGTTTGATCCCAGCTATAAATCCTGATGAATTCTTTGTTAAAAGTAAAGCAAAAAAGGTTAAGATGGTTTGAATGATATACAGGGTTAGTCCCCAGGGGTCATCCCGACCCCCTGCCATTTGAGAAAGTTCTAATATCTTGTAAATGGTCGAGATCCCCACCCCTAAACCATATATATTCTGGTTTGTCATGCCAAGATGATTTGAATGATATACAGGGTTAGTCCCCAGGCATCACTAATGCATATAACTTTACTGGACCAAACCAATTTTCACTGGACTTTGTCCAATATCAGATGACCCTGGGAATTACGAATTATGGGAGCTTCGTTTGGGAGACTTCGTAACAGCATCCTGTTACAATCATTTCTTGTTTAATCTAGTGCGTTTACACTGCAACATAAACAGAACCGGTCTGACCTGATTACTTTACATTTCGTAAACAAATAATCGTAAAAATAAAATTGAATAATAACGAGTGCATTTCGCGCGGACTATCACACACTGCAAAATTATGGAGAAAATAGTTGGATCATTGGAATTTCGTATGCAGTTATCAATTATCTTTTTGGTTCACACGTCACAAGTCATTAAACAAAGAAATGCGAGAAGACTATCACTTAAAAACAAACTGTCAATGCCTTTGAAGATGAGGATTTGCAGCAAAGAACTAGACTGATTTATCGATTCAGAAGAATGATCCAAAAACTGCGGAATCTTTTCCCATCCATCGTTTTTAAACACGCGAGTTTTTGCCGCCGAATATGCACAGATTTATTTTCATATCTAAATATAACATTCACTTGAAGAAAGATCAATCGCGATCGATCTTAGCGTTTACACTTGAAGAAAGATAGATTCAAATCAGATCGATCTTTTTAAAACCACCTCTGGAGGTGGACTTTTTAAGTCAGATTTAAGATTTTTTAGATCGATCTTTTTTCCAAGTGTAAACAGGGTATTAGAAAGTTACATAAATGCTTCCAATCAGAAAACACTAAACCACTCACTAAATTCATTTCGAAATTGCAAAATTGCTGCACTTATTTGAACCAAGCGTATGTCAAAGTGTTACATGTATATGTTTAAAATCTAACAACATTTTTCAAGTTGAATTACGATACAGTTTATATTAATGTGATTTAGATTTACATGTAACAGCGTTCATTCATAATAATATCATTTTTATACGACCGCAAAAATTGAAAATTTTTTGGTCGTATATTGGTATGACGTTGGCGTCGTCGTCGTCGTCCGGCGTCGTCCAAAGACACATTGGTTTTCGCACTCTAACTTTAGTTTAAGTGAATGGATCTCCATGAAATTTTACCATAAGGTTCAATACCATGAAAGGAAGGTTGGGATTGATTTTGGGGGTTATGGTACCAACAGTTAAGGAATTAGGGGCCAAAAAGGGGCCAACAATAAGCATTTTTGTAACTTCCAGACAATAACTTGTGTGTAAGTGTATGGATCTCTCTGACATTGTACCACAAGGTTCCATATCACAAAGGGAAGGCTGTAATTGATTTTGGGGGTAATTGCCTCAAAATGTTAGGAATTAGGGGCCAAAAAAGGGGCAAAAAACAAGCATTTTTCTAGTTTCATGACAATAACTTGTGTGTAAGTGTTTGGATATTTCTGAAATTGTACTACAAGGTTCCATATCACAAAGGGAAAGCTGGAATTGAGTTTGGGGGTAATTGCCCGAAACGTTTCGGAATTGGGGGCCAAAAAGGGGCCAAAAATAAGCATTTTTCTAGTTTCCAGACAATAACTTGTGTTCAAGTGTATGGATCTCTCTGAAATTGTACTGCAAGGTACCATACCACAAAGGGAAGGCTGAGATTGAGTTTGGGGGTGATGAATCATAAGGGGGTTCAAAAAATTTTGGGGGGGGATTTTTTTTTTTCTTTTTTTCCTTTTTTTTTTCTTTTAAAATTTTCCATTTTAAGTTGGTTATTTCTGATTTATATTTAAAAGCAAATAATAATGACATGGTAGGAGATACACACCAAACAGGATGTGTAAATTATTATATAATAAGTATTGTGCAATAGCAAGAAATTTTCAATTGCACAGTATTGCACAATAGCAAGAAATCTTCAATTGCACAGTATTGCGCAATAGCAAGAAATCTTCAATTGCACAGTATTGCGCAATAGCAAGAAATATCCAATAGCACAATATTGCGCAATAGCAAGAAATTGTCAATTGTACAGTATTGCGCAATAGCAAGAAATAATCAATTGCACAGTATTGTGCAAAAGAAGATACTTTGTATAAATTGCTTATTTCTTGATCAATTTCAATGGGGTTTTATTCTTGAATTCTTGGGGTTCTTTAATATGCTGAATCTAACCGTGTATTAAGTTTTTGGACTTTGGGCCCCGTTTTTAAATTGGTCCACATTGAGGTCCAAAGGGTCCAAAATTTAACTTTGTTTGATTTCATCAAAAATTGAATTATTGGGGTTCTTTGATATGCCGAATCTAACCGTGTATTTAGATTCTTAATTTTTGGTTCTGTTTTCAAATTGGTCTACATAAAGGTCTAAAGGGTCCAAAATTAAACTTAGTTTGATTTCAACAAAAATTGAATATATGGGGTTCTTTGATATGCTGAATCTAACCATGTATTTAGATTTTTGATTATGGGCCCAGTTTTCAAGTTGGTCCAAATCGGGGTCCAAAATTAAACTTTGTTTGATTTCAACAAAAATTGAATATATGGGGTTCTTTGATATGCTGAATCTAACCATGTATTTAGATTTTTGATTGTTGGGCCCCGTTATCAACTTTGTCCACATTGAGATCAAAAGGGTACAAAATTAAACTTTGTTTGATTTCATCAAAAATTGAATATATGGGGTTCTTTGATATGCTGAATCTAACCATGTATTTAGATTTTTGATTATGGGCCCAGTTTTCAAGTTGGTCCAAATCGGGGTCCAAAATTAAACTTTGTTTGATTTCATCAAAAATTGAATATATGGGGTTCTTTGATATGCTGAATCTAACCATGTATTTAGATTTTTGATTATGGGCCCAGTTTTCAAGTTGGTCCAAATCGGGGTCCAAAATTAAACTTTGTTTGATTTCAACAAAAATTGAATATATGGGGTTCTGTAATATGCTGAATCTAACCGTGTATTAAGTTTTTGGATTTTCGGCCCCGTTTTTAAATTGGTCCAAAGGGTCCAAAATTTAACTTTGTTTGATTTCATCAAAAATTGAATTATTGGGGTTCTTTGATATGCCGAATCTAACCGTGTATTTAGATTCCAAATTTTTGGTTCCGTTTTCAAATTGGTCTACATAAAGGTCAAAAGGGTCCAAAATTAAACTTAGTTTGATTTTAACAAAAATTGAATTTTTAGGGTTCTTTGATATGCTGAATCTAAACATGTATTTAGATTTTTGATTATGGGCCCAGTTTTCAAGTTGGTCCAAATCGGGGTCCAAAATTAAACTTTGTTTGATTTCAACAAAAATTGAATATATGGGGTTCTTTGATATGCTGAATCTAACCATGTATTTAGATTTTTGATTTTTGGGCCCTGTTATCATTTTTGTCCACATTGAGATCAAAAGGGTCCAAAATTAAACTTTGTTTGATTTCATCAAAAATTGAATTCTTGGGGTTCTTTGATATGCTGAATCTAACCATGTATTTAGATTTTGGATATTGGACCATAATAGGTGAATGTCCAATTTAAAATTTTTAAGTTCTTAGACCACATTCATTCTGTGTCAGAAACCTATGCTGTTTCAAATATTTAATCACAATCCAAATTCAGAGCTGTATCAAGCTTGAATGTTGTGTCCATACTTGCCCCAACTGTTCAGGGTTCGACCTCTGCGGTCGTATCAAGCTGCGCCCTGCGGAGCATTTTGTTAAAACTATATATCCCTGAAAATCTTAAAGTTCCTTTCAAATTATATATATTATATATAAATTAAAGAAAGTTGTATTGAATCTAGCTGTTTTTAATCCAGATGTAATGTTTCTAAGCTTGAACATTTTGTAACTTGAATTAAAAATATGCATGCCTATACTATCCCTTT